CCACTGATGCTGAAGCAAATAAGTTGGACGGGTTAAATATGTTGACACGAAAACTCAACGATTTGGATTTGAATCCAGATATCTATGTAGAAGTCGGTACAAAGAGGGAAGCTGTTGGAAGCGAAGTATTTTTTATACCAGGAATCGATGGCTGTGCCAGAATATATAAACTGGTAGAATCGAAAATTAAATCCTCGGCGACGTGTTTACAACACGGTGTATTTCATATTCCGGGTGTCACTCGTTCAATAACGAAATCAGCAGCGTATTTTCTGCCTGTATGGAATTATAAGATAATCTATTTGAAATAATCATACACACCTTTTTTTACATACCATATTATATATGGATTTTTTCTTTGTTCTAGTATGTATTAGAGAAAATAAAAGGTCAAAAGGAATTTTTAATTGTGGGTTATTCATTTGGATGTTTAATTGCCATCGAATTAGCAAGATTATTGGAAGCTAAGAATTCTCTGGACGTTTAATAATTATTGATGGTGCTCCTGATCTAATAAAATTTTTGGTTGAGATAGTTCTTAATCAACAGTCGGAACACGAACTACAAAATGATGTTATACTTCGTTTCATAAAAATGTATCTTGGATCTCGTAGTGAAATGGTTAGTTCATGATTAACATTACACATTATGACTTTTTTAAAGTAAAATTTTAATAACAATATACATATATATATATATATATATGTATATATATATATATATATATATATATATATATATACATTATTTATAAATTATTTGGATCTTATACGTCATCCTATTTTATCAATAAAATATAATTTTTGCGCATCCATTTCAATTTATTTGTCGAATATGGTAGAATAAAGAAACTTTTCCAGGTTTAAAGTATTAGGTTGGCCGATAAGTCCGTGCGGTTTTTGTCGATAGATGACTCTAATGTTTTGAAAAGCAATTATATTCAATTCAAATTGTGAAAGTACGCATTTTGTTCGATAGGTGATATTTCAACGTGCATTTAAAAAAAAATACGTAAAGATTAGTTGCGTTTTATGTGTTTAACATAATTCGAAAGATGGATAACAAAAACAAGCATTTTCGCCATATTATGTTATTTTATTTTAACAAAGGCAAAAACGCGGCACAAACATCTAAAAAGATATGTGCGGTATATGGTAAGGATGTTGTGAAAGAATGTGTGTGCCAGAAATGGTTTGCATAATTTTGTTTCGGAAATTTTTCAATCTAAGATGTACCACGCTCTGGCTGGTCAGTTGAGATTGATCAAGACAAAGTAAAAGCGTTAATCGATACCAATAAACGTTTTACGACGCGAGAGATTGCAGATGTTCTCCATATCAAAAACAAGCGTGTTAAACCATCTGAATCAACTTGGCTACATTAGCCGGTTAGATATGTGGGTTCCGCATGAATTGAGCGAAGCTCATTTAATCAAACGCATTTCTATCAGCGATTCATTACGGAAACGTGAAGAAACCGATCCATTTCTAAAACGAATGATAACGGGCGATGACAACTGCATAATCTACAACAATATCCAGCACAAAAGATCGTGGGAACAGTGCAATAAACCACCTCAAATCATTTCGAAGCCAGGACTTCACTCGAATAAAATTATGCTCTTAATATGGTGGGATTGGAAGGGTGTTGTGTTTTACGAGTTGCTTCCAAAGAACAAAACGATTAATTCAGATGTGTACTGTGACCAGTTGGACAAATTAAACGCAGCGATTCACAAGAAACGTCCAGAATTAATGAATCGTATAGATGCTATCTTCCATCACGCCAGACCGCACACGTCTTTACAAACACGGCAAAAATTATTGGAGTTGGGCTAGGATATCCTACCACATCCTCCGTATTTTCCTTCGGATTATTATTTGTTTCGCTTCCTACAAAATTATCCTTGAATGGACGGCACTTTACTTTTGAAGAAGATATCAAACGGCACTTAAAACAGTTTTTCAACGAAATAAACAAGAAGTTCTACGAGCGAGGAATTATGAAGTTTCGTGAAAGATAGCAAAATATAGTAGAACAAAAGGGCTAATACATTATTGATTAAAGGTATTGCCTTCTATGTAAAAATTATCCATCATTTACATGTAAAAAAACCGCACGGACTTATTGACCAACCTAATACATATAGAAACAAAGCACAGACTTACCAAATTTATGTTCAGAAACAAATGTTTTAATAAAAAAATTAATTTTTTTTATTCTATTATATTATTTACAGCTTGCATCAGAGCTGAATAAGTGCAAAACATGGGAGGAAAAGTTAGAAGCATTTTCTCCCTTTTCGAAGGAGATTACTGTATTATCTGTTGAAAATCAGAAACTTTTATGTTCAACAATTTTCGATCATATAATCGCTTTAAGAAATTATAATATATCTTCGTTGCCGCGCTTGAAATCATCTATAACATTTTTAAAACCTACACTTGCGCCTTTCAATTATACCAAGGAGGATTGTGGTTTACACAAGGTAAAATTGATTAGATCGTAAACTATTTTATTATTTTTAAGATATTTCTTACAAGAGACATTTTTTTTAGGTCACCGAAGGTACAATACAAATTCATTACGTGGAAGGTACTCATATTTCAATGATGGACAATGACAAAATAGCATCATTTATTAACGAAGCGTTGTAAATTAAAAATTATGAACATTATACAACAATAATTATACAATATAATATAGAAATAATTATGCATGAAAATATATCAAGTCTTAATTATCTGAAACATTTTCAAAATGTTAATGTAGACAAAATTAATATATATTTGATAATTATTTTAATCATGTACTTTTAGCCAAAGCAAAATTAAATTAAATTAAATTAAAATAATAAAAGACAAGATTGGTAGAGAAATGAAATTATTTTTTGTTTCCACCGCTTTATTTATTATGGACGATATTAATTTAAAAAAAGATGTTCTATTCCTTTCAAAATTCTATCATCACATATAAAAAGTATACATATTATGTATTGCATATATTTTGACGTTTGACTACAGCACATATGAGTTTGAATAAAAAATGCTTTTCGCATTTGTATACATCTCATTAAAATGCAAAACAAAATAAGAATCGCAAAAGTCGCCCATTTCTGCATTATTATCGTATTTGCTGTACTTTGACACAAAACGTATATAAAATTAATCTGCACTGAATATTCTAATTATTCATAACCACATTATTTTTCATGCAAATAGGGTTGTTATGATATCTTAAATTTGGAATCATATTTGGTTTAACAGACAATAGAGCATATTTTATTCTACGGCACGGATTATTATTGTACTAGTCAGTGTTAAAGTTCCATTTTCTATTTCTAATTTTTTAAAACTTCAACGCGGTAAGTTTTAATTTTTCTTGCATTTATCGAATTTTTTTTTTATTTTTGAGTAAATTCTTCTAAAAATTATTTCTGTAAATAACTAAATTGTGTACACAAATAAGTACCATAAAAACATACGTTAAATAAGTGTTCTAAATATTTATTATTTTTCTACTATTATTTTAATCTTTTTCCCAAAATTTGCATTGCTCTGTTTCCTTTTCTCTTGAAATTAGAAACACGAAATATTTTCTTACAATTTTTATGTATTTTAATAATTATATACATATAGTAATGATACATGTATAAAATTGTATTTATTTTAAAACGTTTTATTCCTAATGTCTTATAAATTTATATATGTTATTTTCCATTAGAATGTTTCGCTATTCAGTATATTATTAAATTTGTGATTTATTCCGTCAATAAATTACTAAATAATAATAATAAAATTTTACGAAATTAAATTAACTTTGCTACATTATGATTAAGTTATTGATTAAAATAATTTAAAAAATTAAACTTTATATACATAAACTTACTACTCGTAGGACAATTATAAGATTTAAATTATATGATTAAATTCTCTTTTTTCTATTATACATTTTTTATAATGCTAAACTTTCCATTTTTTGAAAAATGATTTCATATAAAAATTTCATTTTTTTTATTTGATATACACATATATAACTTTGAAATAAAGTTTTATTAGCTTTTTCCTTTAATTACCAGAATTTTTGAAAGATGGATAAAAACAAGCGATTCAATCCATATGTCAGAGTCGATGCTGAAGAAGAAATCGTCATTTCTAGAATTTCCGGTCGATTTCCTAATTCTGATAATATAAAAGAATTTCAGGAAAATTTTATTAATAAAATGGATCTTGGTTCGAACGATATTTGTACTTAAGGTACGCTAACTGTGTTCGCGATAAAGGATCGCACAGGAGTGCTTCCAGAGCGATCCTGCTCCTTACGCGCGCGCTATCCGCTAGTCCCCTAGCAGGTGGAGGTACATATGGAACGGCGAAAATCGGAGCACTTTTGCCGATAACAAAGAATCGACCTCTTGCTATTTAAGAGCGCCGGGAGGTGTCATCCGCAGGCGCTAATCTTAATATCTATATATGATCCCGCAGGGGACATTTGAAGTGCACAAGTGTCGGGGTTTAGCATTCCTCCGGTCCCGAGCTCAGTTCACTGCACATAATCACGAACATTTACACTAGCACACACTCATTATTCTACTCTTACCGATCGTCTAAATCACAATACGAACTACCTTATTTCTTTATTACTACAGCTGTATGGTCACATGACCAAGGCTTGCCTTTTGCCCAATAAAAAAAAATATCTATATATGAAATATACAACAAATATACAATTCCCCCTGTAAATTTAAAGCTAGGCGCAACAAATAATTAAAAACAATAAATTGAATTCTAAATTAATGACAAATAATTCCCGTAACGTTCTGGCGATTTTCTATTGCGTTGTGGTCGGCCCTCAACGCTCGCATTCCGATTACGCTCGCTAATTGTATTTGTGCTTAATATTGGAGTTTATGGACTCTCGGCTTCACCAGCTTCCCCTTTCTCGGATTCGGCTATCGAAAGGTTTTCACGGGAGCATCTCGAACTGTCAGAATCGAAGTTCTAAGGTATATGTTTAGTTTGCTCGTTATTTTCCGCAGTAACAAAATCTTTCGTAGTTTCTATTGGACCATTGTGATCCATATCACTAAGGTTGCTTGTATAATTTACGATTTGATTTCCTATCTTTTTCATTTGATTAATGTGCCGCTTCCAGATCCTACCATCATCTAATTTGATTTCATAATGTAGTTTACCTAATCTTGCATTTATATTTCCAAAACGCCATTTAGTATTTTTGTTTAGGTATTCTCTTATCGCAACTCTTTCGCCTCTTTTAAAAGCTTTTAATATTTTATCATTTTCTATTTTTCGCTCATTATTTATTTTTGGGAACATTAAGTCCAATCTTATCTTTCTACCATACATCGCTTCTGCAGGCGATTTATTTAACTCCGGATGTGGAGTTAATCTATAATTGAACAGAAATTTTTGCAGATTAGTCTTAATATTGCCATTTGTAACATCTAATTTACGCAGTGTTTGTTTTAAAGTTTGAACAAGACGTTCTGCCAAGCCATTCGTGGCTGGATGATAAGGCGCTGTACGCTTATGATTAATACCATGGTTTTTAAGAAAATCCTGGAATTCTTCTGCTATAAAAGTGCGACCATTATCCGTTACTACCGTAGACCAAAACTAGCAAAAATCTCTCTACATTTATCTATAGTTTCATGTGCAGACATATTCTTCATAATGTGCACTTCCGGCCATTTAGTGTACGCGTCTACTAAGACTAAAAAATGTGTCCCATAAACGAACCGGCGAAGTCTATATGCACACGCTCAAACGGTAATGATGCCGCTTCCCAATGGTGTTTCACTTTACAATTTGGATTGTTACTCAACATAATGCATGCTTTACAATTTTGTATTATTTCCTCAATATCTTTATCAATTTTTGGCCACCAACAAAAATTTCTACTTAATTGCTTCATTCTTACTGTGCCAAAATGACCCGCATGTAATTCTTTTAACACTTTGTTTCTTAAACTTTCAGGAATCACTACTCTTTCTCTTTTAAAAACGATTTCATCTTGTAATGTGAATTCACCATCGTCAAGTCCTAACGGAACGAGGCTTTGGCCTTTCATTAACGCTTGCCGAATTTTATTTATAAACAAATCTTTGCCTGTTTCCATTTTAATACATTTTACCGTTACTGGCAAGGTTTCTAAATTTTCAATTTGCAGAACATCAATCGAGTCGTAATTGTTATCATTCTTTTCCAATATGGGTAATCGAGAAAAACCATCCGCATTTCCATGATCAATTGACTTTCGATATTTAATATCAAAGTTAAAGGCTTGCAAGAAAATAGCGTAGTGCTGCATACGTAATGCACTATATGCTGGAAGGCCTTTTTTAGGATTTAAAATTTGAACAAGTGGTTTATTGTCTGTTAATAAAGTGAAACGATTACCACATAAGAATTGATGAAATTTTTTAATTTCAAATACTATCGCAAACGCTTCTTTATCTATCTGAGCGTATTTCTTTTGCGTTTCTGTTAGCGAATTTGATGCGTACTGAATTACGCGCTCTGTACCATCGGGATATCTATGAGATAAAACGGCTCCTACACCGTACGGGCTAGCATCTACTGCAAGTACTAGTGGCAACTTAGGATTAAAAGCAACTAAAACTTTGTCGCTTCCAAATTCTACTTTTACTTTATTAAACGCGGCTTCACATCCTTTGGATCATTTAAAAATTACATTTTTCTTCAACAAATTATTTAGTGGATGTAATATATAGCTTAGATTTTTTATAAAGCGTCCATAGTAATTAACTAGGCCAATAAAAGCTCGTAATTGTGTAATATTGGTTGGTCTAAGCATTTTCTGGACGGCTTCAATTTTCTTTGATTCTTTTGCAATTCCATTTTTATTTATTAAATAACCACAACATGATATCTCGTCTTTAAGGAAAGCACACTTCTCGATGTTGATACGTATATTATGTTCAGATAAACGTTTCAAAACTGATTCTAGTCTTTCCAAATGTTGTTCTAAATCTTTTCCCGCTATTCTAATGTCATCGAGAAATACTGTCACCCCGGGTATTCCGGAAAGTATGTTTTCTATAGTTCGTTGCCAAATAGCAGGCGCAGATGCTACTCCGTACATTAATCTATTACATTTAAATAATCCTTTATGCGTACTTAATGTGAGAATCTCTCTATCGGTTTCCTCAACCTGTAGTTGCAAATACGCTTGCTTTAAGTCGATTTTTGAAAATATCGTGCCGCCCGACATAGATGCAAATAATTCTTCTAGCGTAGGTAACGGGTGCTCATCCACAATTAATGACGGGTTAACTGAGATACTAAAGTCACCACAGATTCTAATTCCACCGTCTTTTTTCAAAACCGGTACGATTGGGGTTGCCCATCTTGACGTCTCAACTTTTTCTAGAATACCCGCATCTACCATTGCGTTCTAACTCATTTTCTACTTTTTTCAAAATTTTAAACGGTACCGTACGATTTTTATAAAAATTGGTTTTGCCTCTGGCTTTAATTTTAAATGAGCTTTAAATGTTTTAATATGCGCAAATTCCTCACTAAATACATTATTATATTTTTTAAACAAATTTGTCAATTGCTTTTTACCCAACGCGTCTAACATTTGTATGTCTTCTATATATATTTTTTTACCTCTATTAAACTATTTTTAATTTTATCTAATAATTTTAATTGATTTATCCATTCTCTGCCTAACAATGGGTTTCTATTATATTTTACTACGTACATATTTAACATTTTAATTTGATTTGCATCTTTTACTTTAACTTTTATAAAACCGAGGGGCACGAAATTTTGCTTACAATACGACCTTAATTTTAAATTCGTTTTATGTAATTTTAATTTCGGAAAATAGTTTTTGAGCCATTTATTGCTTACCAGCGTAACTGCCGCACCGCAATCTACGTCAAATTTTATCGTTCTATTTTTGATACTGAGGGGCACTGTGAATTTTATTCTATGTTCGAGATGCTCCGTATCGTTGACATGAAAAACCTCCTCCAACAAGTGGGCCTGTCCTTTCTTTTTACAGACTTTCTGTAAGTGCCCGAAACCACCGCATTCTCTGCATTTTACGCTCCGAGGAAGGGTACAGTTAGGTGCCAAATGAGCCTGTCCACATGTAAAACAAACAATATCATTAGATTTGGAATGAATACGCTTATTATTGTACTTATTATTCTGTTTGAAATTGGAAAGGTTTGTTGCCGATGTGTCCTTTCTCTGGCCTTGTTGATATGCCTTATTTCCTTTACGGCCCTCTCGACCTTTTGTCTTCTTGTGTTTTGTTCCTTCACCAACAAAGTCAACGGCTGTTTCCAACGGATTTTCTTCCTTCAATTTACTGACTCCTTTTTCCGCCAATTCCATGCCGCAGGCAATTTTTAAAGCTGATTCCCTTGTAAGATTGGCCGTTTTCAGCAATTTTGACTGGATCCGTTGATTTTTCAGCCCAAATACAAATTGATTCCTCAGTTCTGTTTGCAAGTAATCTCCAAATTTAGAATGCAGCGATAATTTCTGAAGAGCGGCCATATACTCCTGTGCACTCTCCTCTGAGCGTTGCATACGCTTTCTATATATATATATATTTTTGCGATCTCCAGTGGTTCTGGTACGTAGAATTCCTTTAATTTTTCAACTAACTCATTATACGTCTGCGTATACGGATCGACAGGGTCGAGTCGATCACACAGAATTCCAAAAGCTTCTACGCCTACAAAATGTAATAGATAAGCCGCTCGATCTGCATCTTCCACTATTTGAAACACACGGAACGCTTCTTCCAAACGCTGCAACCATCTCGCTAACGGCTGTTGTTGCGGGTTGAACACGTCGACCTGGAGCGGATTGGCAATTGCCACTTTTTGTGCCGAAATTATTCCTAAGCTCGGGCTCGGTACCCTCGAACTCGTGCCCGATCCCCCTGTGGACATTTTCACGTCCCTCAAAAAAAAAAATTCTTCCTTTTGAATTAACTAACGATCAATCTCGCCACGTGGATCGAAACTTCTAGCACTTGATCGTTCACACAAAGTTTAGCTTGTGATTTACGTACAGTGAAAATATCCCGTCCTCGTCGCCAGCTGTTATGTTCTTTCTATTAGAGGATCGGTGATGGAAGAACGATGGAATGATTTACACTATATATATGAAACTGAGTAACTATATTTTTATATATGGTACTCTAACTGTGTTCGCGATAAAGGATCACACAGGAGTGATTCCAGAGCGATCCTGCTCCTTACGCGCGCGCTATCCGCTAGTCCCCGGTGGGGGTACATATGACACGGCGAAAATCGGAGCACTTTAGCCGATAACAGAGAATCGACTTCTTGCTATTTAAGAGCGCCGGGAGGTGTCATCCGCAGGCGCTAATCTTAATATCTATGTGTGAAACAGGTAATATAACGTGTACGTTACATGTAACATCCATGTTAGTTGTAATTTTCCACTCATAGATGTAACATTTTTAATATTACATATATTACATTGTAGTTATATTGTCTGTATATCCCAAGATAGCACTGACTTATCAATACATTAATGTGCTATTTGGTATATAATTACAATATAACTACAATGTAATATATGTAATATTAAAAATGTTACATCTATGAGTGGGAAATTACAACTAACATATACGTTCCATGTAACATGCTTAAGTATATAACATTTATATACTGTGTTTGCTGGGTTGTTATGATAGCTTGAGTTTAGAATCATATTGGATTTAACAGACAAAATAGCATTATTTATTAATAAAGCGTTGTAAATTGATAATTATGATAATTACAACAATAATTGTACAATATAATATAGAAATAATTATACATATGGTAATATAAGAATAATTATGCATGCAAATTTCTAAACTAGAGTACTAAAATAATGATCTAAAACAATTTTAAAAAGATTAATAGTAGATATCTTGTATCGCCAGTGATGAATAAAATTAAAATTAAATGTGAGACGACCCAACTGGCTTAAATTAATTCTTATTATTATTCGTTTGATGCCATGTACAAGAACAGACAACGTTTCGACCTTAGGTTTAGGTCCTTATCAAGTCTAAAATTAACATTAAAAAATACAATAGATGTACATACAAGAATTTTGATTTTTAAGAAAGTAAAGCGCAAACCAAGATTATAATAACAATTTAAACGTACCTTACAAATTCTTAAGTGCAATATATAATTAATTTTGTTCCATTTTACATATTTCAATATAAATATTGTGTCACGTAAACGTTCGGTATGGATGGTAAAGACGAACTAAGTTAAACAGCTTTGATTATTCTATCATAGATCGGATTCAAATTCTCTGTGTCTTTCTGTAGGTTGATCGTGTTATTAAATTTTTTTATAAAAAACATTTCAGCAATCTCTCTTTTCCTAGTGTTTGTTTCTCGATGTAAAATATTTAAGTTTGTCCATTTAAAGTCATGCGAAAAATCATTTCTATGTTTGCTTATAACATTTTGATTGCTGACATGCATTTTTATATTATTCATATGTTCTTTAATCCGAGTATTAAGGTGTCTTTTAGTTTGTCCGATGTATGTGGCGTCACAGTCATTGCAGTCAACTTTATAAACTATCTCGGTCATATCGGCTTTAGGTAATTTGTCTTTTCGGGGTTTAATAAACGTATCAAGTTTTTTTGGAATCGTATAAATAACACTTAAGCCTGTTTTCTTAATAGATCTCTCAATAGTCTCACTTAGGTTCTTAACATACGGCATTAAAATACAAGACGAAATATCAAATACATTATTTTTGTCAACTACGTTATGAGAATTTTCTAAAAAACATGTTCTTTTATACATATATCGCTCGATGACCGTCCTAGGGAAACAATTATTCAACAAGATTTTTTTAACCATCTGTAAGTTCTCATTATGAAATCGTTTATCCGATAACAAAATAGCGTGGTCGACTAAGTTATTAATCGTGTTAACTTTGTATTTAAACGGATGGTTAGAATGGTAGTTTAAATATCTACCAGAGAAGGTAGGTTTCTGGTACCAACTAGTCAATAGTTTACCATTGTTTCTAAAAACCAATGTATCCAGAAAGTTAATCTTGTTATTTATCTCTGTTTCATGTGTAAATTGCAAGCGGTGATGGTATTTATTAAACGTAGTCAAAATGTTATCCATTTTATTGCGTGGTACTATTGCAAAAATATCATCAACGTACCTATAATAAACTGAAATGTCAAATTGTAAAGAGCTTAAACATTCTGTCTCAAGATCAGCCATAACTAAGTCTGCTAAAATAGGTGAAAGGGGGGATCCCATTGGCGTACCATGTATCTGTTCATAAAATTGATCGTTGAAACGAAAACTGGTAGATTCTAATACAGCGTCGATTCCATATAAAAATTGTGTCAAACTAAAATTTGTGTTACATGAAATATCCTTCCAACGTTTTTCAATAGCTTTTAAAACTAATTCCTTAGGAATGTTTGTGAATAAAGAAGTGACGTCAAGAGAAATTAACATTTCATTATCTTCAATACTCAAATTCTTGATTTTATTCGCGAACGTCCAACCGTCTTTAATATGTGAGATAGGTTTCGTAATTGATCGTTCCAATATATCATGTAAAAAACGCGCTATACTGTACACCGGGCTCCCAAGTGACGAAACAATTATACGTAAAGGCGCGTTAACTTTGTGAATTTTCGGTAGACCGTAACATCGAGGAAGGTTCCCATTTGTGGTATTAAGTCGTTTATATGTCATTTCATCAATCAATTTATTATCTCGCCATGATTTGATTAAAGAATTGATTCTACCCGAAACTTTCTTGAGCGGATCTTTTTTCAGTTTAGTATATGTACCCTGATCACTTAGTGAAACATTCATTTTGTCAATATAATCTTTTTTGTCCATAATAACTGTAGTTTGACCCTTATCGGCTGTCGTAACTAAAATGTCATCGTTATCACGTAGATACCTATGACATTGTTTAGAGTTGTTAATAATGTATCTATCTATGTAGCTAGTGTGTTTCTTTTTGCTAAGAAATCCATATGCCGCTTTAGTTACCTCGTTTCTTGTCAATTCAACAAGAGCATTAGGAATCTTAGTGCAATTAATTTCTAGGTTCTTAGCTATATCGATAACAATGTTAGTGCGGTCATTCTTAATTTTAATTTTATTCATCACTGGCGATACAAGATATCTACTATTAATTTTACTGCACATTGACCGAATGATGGTGCTTACACGGAGAGGTGGTTTTTTTCAAACAATCTCTGATCATTATGGTTTTAACCACACTTTGTTGCTGAAATCATGGATTGATATCAAGAAGAAGTTATTTACATCGAAACATCAACTAATTTTCCTGCTTCGATGCAGAAGATTGGATTTACTTCCACCACACATCAAGAAATTGAAATTGAACATCTTTTTCTACAGTAATAGCGTAAACCAAAAATTTGATTATTTTTCTAGACGAACTCGAATTAGATTGTTGAACTTAGAAATTAAAGATTTAAATTATAACATAAAGTTCTTACATTCCAAACTTTATAACATCGAAAAAAGGATGTTTGACTTACTTCCACGTACTTTAATTAACAGATTTTTTGAACTTAATCAACATAAATTATTTATTTTTAATAAAACGAAAAAGGATAACGCGATTAAAAAGTTCAATAATTTAATACGTAATAATAATGTTTCACTCAACTCTTTTAGTAAAAGTGACAGATCGAAATGGATAGTAAATTTGAGCAATAAAATTATTCCAGAGAACATTCTAGATTTTTTAAGCTTAGGTGATAAATTCGGGTTGCCTGTCTCACAGAATTATAAGAATGACCGCACTAACATTGTTATCGATATAGCTAAGAACCTAGAAATTAATTGCACTAAGATTCCTAATGCTCTTGTTGAATTGACAAGAAACGAGGTAACTAAAGCGGCATATGGATTTCTTAGCAAAAAGAAACACACTAGCTACATAGATAGATACATTATTAACAACTCTAAACAATGTCATAGGTATCTACGTGATAACGATGACATTTTAGTTACGACAGCCGATAAGGGTCAAACTACAGTTATTATGGACAAAAAAGATTATATTGACAAAATGAATGTTTCACTAAGTGATCAGGGTACATATACTAAACTGAAAAAAGATCCGCTCAAGAAAGTTTCGGGTAGAATCAATTCTTTAATCAAATCATGGCGAGATAATAAATTGATTGATGAAATGACATATAAACGACTTAATACCACAAATGGGAACCTTCCTCGATGTTACGGTCTACCGAAAATTCACAAAGTTAACGCGCCTTTACGTATAATTGTTTCGTCACTTGGGAGCCCGGTGTACAGTATAGCGCGTTTTTTACATGATATATTGGAACGATCAATTACGAAACCTATCTCACATATTAAAGACGGTTGGACGTTCGCGAATAAAATCAAGAATTTGAGTATTGAAGATAATGAAATGTTAATTTCTCTTGACGTCACTTCTTTATTCACAAACATTCCTAAGGAATTAGTTTTAAAAGCTATTGAAAAACGTTGGAAGGATATTTCATGTAACACAAATTTTAGTTTGACACAATTTTTATATGGAATCGACGCTGTATTAGAATCTACCAGTTTTCGTTTCAACGATCAATTTTATGAACAGATACATGGTACGCCAATGGGATCCCCCCTTTCACCTATTTTAGCAGACTTAGTTATGGCTGATCTTGAGACAGAATGTTTAAGCTCTTTACAATTTGACATTTCAGTTTATTATAGGTACGTTGATGATATTTTTGCAATAGTACCACGCAATAAAATGGATAACATTTTGACTACGTTTAATAAATACCATCACCGCTTGCAATTTACACATGAAACAGAGATAAATAACAAGATTAACTTTCTGGATACATTGGTTTTTAGAAACAATGGTAAACTATTGACTAGTTGGTACCAGAAACCCACCTTCTCTGGTAGATATTTAAACTACCATTCTAACCATCCGTTTAAATACAAAGTTAACACGATTAATAACTTAGTCGACCACGCTATTTTGTTATCGGATAAACGATTTCATAATGAGAACTTACAGATGGTTAAAAAAATCTTGTTGAATAATTGTTTCCCTAGGACGGTCATCGAGCGATATATGTATAAAAGAACATGTTTTTTAGAAAATTCTCATAACGTAGTTGACAAAAATAATGTATTTGATATTTCGTCTTGTATTTTAATGCCGTATGTTAAGAACCTAAGTGAGACTATTGAGAGATCTATTAAGAAAACAGGCTTAAGTGTTATTTATACGATTCCAAAAAAACTTGATACGTTTATTAAACCCCGAAAAGACAAATTACCTAAAGCCGATATGACCGAGATAGTTTATAAAGTTGACTGCAATGACTGTGACGCCACATACATCGGACAAACTAAAAGACACCTTAATACTCGGATTAAAGAACATATGAATAATATAAAAATGCATGTCAGCAATCAAAATGTTATAAGCAAACATAGAAATGATTTTTCGCATGACTTTAAATGGACAAACTTAAATATTTTACATCGAGAAACAAACACTAGGAAAAGAGAGATTGCTGAAATGTTTTTTATAAAAAAATTTAATAACACGATCAACCTACAGAAAGACACAGAGAATTTGAATCCGATCTATGATAGAATAATCAAAGCTGTTTAACTTAGTTCGTCTTTACCATCCATACCGAACGTTTACGTGACACAATATTTATATTGAAATATGTAAAATGGAACAAAATTAATTATATATTGCACTTAAGAATTTGTAAGGTACGTTTAAATTGTTATTATAATCTTGGTTTGCGCTTTACTTTCTTAAAAATCAAAATTCTTGTATGTACATCTATTGTATTTTTTAATGTTAATTTTAGACTTGATAAGGACCTAAACCTAAGGTCGAAACGTTGTCTGTTCTTGTACATGGCATCAAACGAATAATAATAAGAATTAATTTAAGCCAGTTGGGTCGTCTCACATTTAATTTTAATTTTAAAAAGTATAATAGTAATATATGTATACAGAATTAAATATACATATATGTGTATATATGCATATATATATATATATATATATATATATATATATATATATTGTAACCGTTGATTTTATATTAGTCCGTCGGATCGATAAGGATCCGGGAAATCGGGCCGATGTAAATGACCGACGGCACACCTTCGACGCGGAAAGCGGGAAATTCGCGTAAACACGAAAAATATGTTTAATTGGGCGCCAGGCGCGAGATTCGCGCCACTCTGAAAATTTACAAATCGACAGATGACCTTTATAATCAGTAAATCGTCCCGAAAATTTCCGCGACGGCGATAATCGACTCGCTCAGATCGTCAGGGGTTAGAGGGGGGAGTTCGGACGGGAGAGAGGACGGAATTCGAGAGAGGCTATTTGAAATCGCTCAAATGTAACAAGCATTAAATATATTTGAACAATGATGAACGAAGATAGGCAGAAAAATAATTGTATAAAAGCTTGAGTAAAATGTTAGGTCAAGAAAGAAAAATCAATATTCTTTCGATATACTACGGAGTGAACTCCGTTTTAGTGACGCCGAAATACATATAAGCGAGGCCGAAATTTGATTCGGACAATACAATACGGCGTATTTACGGCCGAGACGCGGCGCGTTGTTATTGTTCCGCGCCTTTGAGACGACCCGACGCGGTGATATCGGACGACACGCGGGACCCGGAAGTAACTTCGCACGCCTACGTGTCGAATAATTATTAACGCGCGAGACTTAATAAGGTCCGCGCGGCGTAATTAATTCTGAGGGTTGTAGGCAATGCAAAATCTCCGTAAACTGTAGTAGGTCCCGCGCGACTTCCTTTGCGACCGATCACTCCGGTCGTCCCTCGCAATATTTTACAAAGAATCAGAAGACTGCGCGGATAATGATATGCGCGAGAAAGAATAAGCTATTTCGGATGCGTGACTCTAGATGTTTAGGCACGAATAAAAACAATAATTAGAAGGTAATCGCTTAGCTCGTTAAACCTTCAAATTTGAAAATACCAAGGAGCTTATGTCAATGTTTTCGCTCCTCGGTTCGCGTTCACCGATGTTTGCGTCCATTTAGACACGCGTCATCCGGCTGATGCGTGATTTTGGTTCCCCTACTCAGTCGGGAAAATCAGGAAGATTCGCCGTACGTGGCGATTCTCGCTTTATTCTGTAAGGAGCTGTTGAGCGATAACATGCTCTCAAGTAATATATAACATTTTAAACGTTAAACGACTCAAAGTTACTCCGCCTTCAGTATCTCCTAGCCACTGCTCCCTTGGCTTCTACCTCGCGCTCTTTTGGAGCGGTCCCGGCTATTCATTCACGTTCACATTAAATCCTTAATAAAAAAAAAAAAAAAAAAAACCCTTCGAATCGTGAACATAAAAGTTGGTCTTTCGAGCCGGATCGAGGTAACCCACGGTGAACGCAGTGCGATCGTCTCTCTCTCTCTCTCTCTCTCTCTCTCTCTCTCTGCTGAACCTCAGTGACGGACTCATCGTTTAGCCCGCACCCAAGGTGGGGACAGCCAACACGATGAGCGATCATCTCTCGCAGCAGCTAACAATGCTGCAATCTGTAGAGCGAGCGCTCTCCAACTTTAAAAAAGTTGGCAGAGCCAATTACACTGCGGCTAAGATTCGTCAACGAATGTCAACCTTGAAGAAGACCTGGACACGGTGCATTGAGAAGCACGCTATCCTGGCACGAGCGTTCACCGCCGAGCAGCAGCGGACCATGGACTACTTTTCGAACACGATCTTCGAAAATTGCGAGGAATACTACGAGACAACCCTCGACTACATGGCCGACTGCCTCGAAGAGCTGGATCCAACGCCCACCAGAACGAGCCTGTCGCAGTCCACGATAAGTACCGCTGAACCATCGTCCTTTTCATTAACTCATTTGCCGCCGATTCAACTACCGCCGTTTTCGGGAAATGTCGAGGACTGAGAGAGCTTCCGCGATCGCTTTACTTCTCTCATAATTCAAAATACCGAATTAACTGCATTTTCGCAGATGCATTTCCTAGCTTCAAGTCTCACCGGTCATGCGTTCGACACTATAAAATCTATTCAAATCACCGCGGATAATTTCGATATCGCGTGGAAAACATTAGTTTCACGATTCGACAATAAGCGACGGCTCGTCGACGTGCACGTATCAGCGCTATACTCTCTGCCGACGGTCTCTCGCGAATCCGCTGTCGAACTTAACGCACTTCGCGACAAAGCGAATCGCGCTATCGCTTCTTTAAAAAATTTGAATCGATCACCCGATCAAATGTTGAGCGATATGTTAGTTTTTAGCGTCACGCAAAAACTTGATCACGCTACTCGGAAAGCGTGGAAGTTAAAAACCGGTGACGACCCGAACATTCTTTCGTATGAAGCTCTCGACCGATTTCTCGACACGCGCATTCGTGCATTGGAGGAAATCTCTCCGGCTAATGCTTCCAAATTCTCGCGCGCGCCAAAAGTTACCAGTGCTAACGCCACTGCCTCTGGTTTATCGTGCCCACTATGTCGGCCCGCGCATTTCATCAACAAATGTCCGCAGTTTTTGCGGAGGACTCCGAGTCAACGCCTTGAAGTCATTTTAAAAGCGAAGCGATGCGTCAATTGTTTGAGCGCAAAGCACGCTGTACAAACGTGTCCGAGTCAATACTCGTGCAGAACTTGCCAAAGCAAGCATCACTCGATGCTGCACGTTGACTCGGCCTCTTCCTCAACTGCATCCGCTGTCTCTCTAAAAAACGAAACCTCGTCGAGTGTGTCGTCAGACTCTATCGCGATCACTTTGGCCACGGCATTATGCTCCCAGCGAACAGGTGTAGCGCTCCCGCAAGTGTTACTCGCGACGGCCCGCGTCACCGTCGGTGCACCGTCGGGTCGGACTCTCACCGTGCGAGCGCTTCTCGATCAAGGCTCGGAGATCACCTTCATCACGGAGCGTCTCGCACAAACTCTCAGAATGCGTCGCATTCGCCAACTACTCTCGATTTCCGCCGTCGGCGGAATGAACGCCGGAACTTGTCAATTTGCCGCTAAGATTCGGATCGCTCCGATCAATTAAGCTGCTCCCGTGTTCACGACAACTGCGTCGATTCTCAGATCTCTCACAAAATATTCGCCTTACAAAGCAAATTCTAGCTATGATTGAAGCTATATAAGCGATCTCAATCTGGCCGATCCGAATCCAACAAGCGCTGACCCGATCGAAATCCTTATCGGAGCAGACTTATATGGCGAGTTGCTGCTTAGCGGCGTTCGTAAAGGCGCCCCTGGGCAGCCAATTGCGCAGCAAACCATTTTCGGCTGGGTTTTGTCGGGGCCCATTTCCGAGCTGTTGACGCAATCGCGAGCGATCACCGTTCAGCATTGCGCGAATTCGGAGGCTCTAGATCAGGAGCTCAGACGATTCTGGGAAATCGAAGAAACTCCTCGACAGGCTCTCCTCATAACCCGCACCCCTACCCGGGGGTGTACGGTACCATGATGGTTTCCCCAGCGACACAAAAAAAAAAGAAAAAGCCCTGAAGAGCAGCAATGTGAGGAGCATTTTACAGCCACGCATTCGCGCAGTGCTGACGGCCGATACACAGTGCGCCTTCCGTTTAAGCGCGGTCCGCCGATCGACATCGGCGATTCGCGCCACACGGCTGAACGCTTCTTGCGAGGCTTACATCGTCGCTTCCTTCTACATTCCGACCTTCGTGCGGCATACGCCGAATTTATGCACGATTACGAATCATTAGGACATATGAACGAAGTGAAGAGCGATCAAGTCGCCTCGCAGGAAGTGTATCTCCCTCATCATCCTGTCATTCGCGACAGTAGCGTCACGACAAGATTGCGAGTCGTATTCAACGCGTCGAATCTGACGACCAATTCAACGTCGTTGAATAATCACTTGCTCACCGGGCCAAAGTTACAAGCGGACTTATCGGCGGTCATTCTGCGCTGGCGACAGTTCCGCTACGTTTACGCCGCCGATATAACGAAAATGTATCGCCAAATAGTTATGGACCCGCGTGACATCGATTACCAGCGAATTATGTGGAGCGGCGCTCCTTCAGAACCCGCTCGAGCTTATCAGCTCACTACTGTAACATACGGCACAGCCTGTGCGCCATTTTTAGCGCTACGCGTCATTCGTCAGCTCGCTCAAGATGAGAGTAGTTCTTTCCCACTCGCTGCTATTGTGCTGCAGCAAAATACTTATGTCGATGACGTTCTCTTCGGGGCGGACGACATACCTCTCCTTCGTCAAGTTCGCGAGCAGGTATGCGCGTTGCTTCGTCGAGGCCGATTCGAGCTGAGAAAATGGGCGAGCAACTCTTCTCAACTCCTCAGCGATATCGCTAGCGCAGATCACGGCCTCGTTTGCGATAAGATGCTTCAAACAGATGACCATCTTAAAATTCTCGGCATCAGGTGGAATCCGTCCTCTGACGCCTTTCAATTTAACGTCACGCTTCCGCATTCCGAGCAGACTACCAAACGGTCGATTCTTTCAACTATCGCGAGATTGTTCGATCCGTTGAAGTGGAGTACTCCGGTTACTGTTGTCGCGAAGATTTTCCTTCAGAAACTCTGGCTGCTCAAAATCGGATGGGACGACGTGCTTTCCGCTGACATTCTCGATCGCTGGGACACCATTCGCTCATCCCTCGCCGCTCTGCACGGTCTTCAATTAAATCGCTGGATCCAACGCGGTGCAGATAGCGTTAGATGCGACTTACACGGTTTCGCAGACGCATCTTCGCACGCTTACGCTGCCGCCGTGTATATTCGAATAGTTTCGTTATCCGGTGAAATAACAGTACGATTGTTAATCGGAAAATCAAAAGTTGCGCCGATAAAAACATTAAGTATTCCACAGCTGGAACTCGCCGCTGCCGTGTTACTCGCGAAACTAATCGATTTTGTCAGATCATCCCTGCATCTCCCTGCAGATTCTTGCCACTGTTGGACCGATTCCACGGTAGTTCTCGCGTGGGTGGCGCAACATCCATCAAAGTGGAAGACGTTCGTCGCGAATCGCGTCTCTGAATATGGTACAATCTAGACTCCCAAACGCGCAATGGAGCCACGTCCCCACTGATCACAATCCCGCGGATTGCGCGTCACGCGGTATACCCGGTGAGAATTTTGCGTCTCACACGCTCTGGTGACGGGGACCTGCATGGTTACATTGTTCTGAATCTGAATGGCTGGCGCCATTCGATTCGTCTCCTTCGATGACCACGATGGAGCGAAAAGAAAACGCTGCGTCTCATCTCGTGTCGCGACGGAAACCATGGGACCTTGCCGCACGGTACTCGTCGTGGCCGCGTTTAATTCGTGTCACCGCCTACATCATGAGATTCATCTCAAAGCTTAAAAGACACTCGGTGCCGCGCGACACATGCGACGAAGGCTCCCGGTTAATTTCCGCGCTCGAATGTAGAAAAGCACGAGACTTTTGGTTGTCGCAAATTCAATCAGAATTATTCGCGCGGGAAAAGGAATCTTTGTTGCAGCAACGTTCGATTCCAGCGAAGAGTGCATTGTTGTCTTTAACGCCGTTTCTCGGCGAAGACAAACTAATCCGCGTTGGCGGGCGGTTGTCGCGTGCCCCCATGCGGTTCTCCGAAAAACATCCTATAATCTTAGCTGCACATCCTCTTGTGAACCTCCTCGTGCAGCACGTGCATTTAAGATCTCTTCACGCGGGGCCTCAATTAACTCTAGCCACTCTTCGTCGAGAGTACTGGATATTGCGCGCTCGAAATATCGTCAAAGGTGTCGTTTTCCGCTGCGTAGTGTGCACGCGTGAAAAGGCAGCTACTCCCACTCAATTGATGGGAAACTTGCCTTCGGTGCGCGTTTCTCCTCCTGCGCGCGCGTTTATTCATTGTAGTCTCGATTATGCTGGTCCCGTCTTAATCAAATCAATGTCGGGACGCGGTGTAGCTTCCCGCAAAGCCTACATCTCCATCTTCGTCTGTATGGCCACGCGAGCCATACATTTAGAATTAGTCGAGAGTTACTCCACTCCAGCCTTCTTAGGCGCCTTTTCAAGATTCTGCTCCCGACGTGGCCTGCCTGAGTCAGTCTACTCTGATAATGGAACCACGTTTGTAGGCGCCGATCGCGAATTGGCTGCATCATTTCGAGCCGCGCTGCGCGATCCAAACTTTCAAAATAGTGCCGCTTCCGACGGGGTGTCATGGCACTATATGCCTCCATCCGCGCCTCACTTCGGCGGACTATGGGAGGCCGGGGTTCGCAGTGTCAAGTATCACCTTCGCAGAATCGTCGGTTCGCACACTCTTACGTTCGAAGAGTTCACAACGATTCTCTGCAACATTGAGGCCTGCCTTAACTCGCGCCCTATCGCGCCTCTCACCGATTCCGTCGACGATTGCGATTCTCTGACGCCCGGTCATTTCTTGATCGGGTCCGCGATTACGATCGCGCCTGAACCCTCTGTACTGCATCTAGCTGAGAACTGCTTGACGCGCTGGCAACTTGTTCGCCAGCTCACAGAACGCTTCTGGAAAAACTGGCAGCAGGACTACGTCAATACCTTGCAACAGCGCGTCAAATGGAAGCAAGTTTCGAAAAACGGAATTCGCGTCGGGTCGCTGGTCCTGTTATGCAATTCTCTCCTTCCGCCTTGTAAATGGGACTTAGGTCGCGTCATCCGATGTCACCCGGGTCCAGACGGTTTGATTCGCGTCGCGACGGTGAAAACCGCGACTTCCGAATATACTCGGCCTATTGTCAAATTATACTTATTTCCGATAGATGTCGAAAGCCTGGACAACCTTACGTAATTAAGTTCAGACTCCAGATATCGCTTCTAACACATTCTGTAAATCGACATACCGAACGCTTCACCAGTCGCCTTTTTTTTTGTTTAATTTATTTCGAAACGATGGTTTCGAGGCGGGCGGTATGTTTAGGCACGAATAAAAACAATAATTAGAAGGTTATCGTTCAGCTCGTTAAACCTTCAAATTTGAAAATACCAAGGAGCTTATATCAATGTTTTCGCTCCTCGGTTCGCGTTCACCAATGTTTGTGTCAATTTAGACACGTGTCATCCGGCTGATGCGTGATTTTGGTTCCTCTTCTCAGTCGGGAAAATCAGGAAGATTCGCCGTACGTGGCGATTCTCGCTTTATTCTGTAAGGAGCTGTTGAGCGATAACATGCTCTCAAGTAATATATAACATTTTTAAAAGTTAAACGACTCAAAGTTACTCCGCCTTCAGTATCTCCTAGCCACTGCTCCCTTGGCTCCTACCTTGCGCTCTTTCGGAGCGGTCCCGGCTATTCATTCACGTTCCCATTAAATCCTTAATAAAAAAAAAAAAAAAAACCTTCAAATCGTGAACACATGTAAATAAAATAATCTATTGCATTAATCTGATATACATATATTACTTAATCACAATTTAATTTTGTTCATTAAGAAAATTTGTTAATTATCGCAATGTGCAAGTTAAGCTTCGTTTATGAGAAAAAATCATTCTAATTAGCGAAATAACATATGGTGAGGAAACAATGTGCAAGTTGTCAATTTTTGCACACATTTTTCACATAAAATAACATTTTTCAAAATGTTACGTACACGGAAAAAATTAATTCATTAAATTTTATTTGACTACCCAGATAGGAAAGCGTGCAGAAAAATTTTCTTATTATTTTAATTTTAAAATGTAATGTATATTATACTATACTATAACTATAAATTAAAATTCTGAAATCACTGATTCTAAATTTAATTATTGTATCATGTAGCAATCTTTGTGAAATTGATACCTAAAATAGATGCTACTATAATTATAATACTTACAGGAAATATTTAGCACAATTATTGCTGAATATATTTTAGAAACTAATGTTGTAATTATTACAAAAATTGCTATATCATAAAATTTTACAATTATTATGTCTCTTTCAGCATTGACAGAGTCATAATCTCCCCGAACGTGGCGTTAGTGTCGTTCTTTCTCTACTCGCCACTGTTACCGTTGCGACACAGTATACACTGTGACTGTGGTTGCGTGTCCGTTCCAGTTCATTCGGGAAATAGCGACGAAGTAATGTCATGACGAAGTAATGTATTGTGCTTTCATGTATATAACCACACATATATGTGTGTGTGATCTTAGGCAATTAAAGATTAGGCGTCCGAACTGCAATGCAAGAATAATATTGTCTGTCGGCCACGAGGTCTTTATTGTTCTTGGCGGTGACGCATTTCGGAAAATAGTTTTGTGCAGAATATTAAAAATACGCTTAACGTGATGAAAAAGTTTATGTGTAAGGAACAAAGAATATATAATAATATATGTGTATATTACACAGCTTACCTGTCAAATAATATTAATAAAAACACTTATATACATGAAAGCTGAAAGCACAATACACTACTTTGCCATGATACTACTTCGTCGCTATTTCCAATGCACTTTTTTTTATAAAAAAATCAATTTTTAAAATTATTTTATAAATATTAAAAATTTTTTCCTTAAATTCTGTATTAATTGAAACATTTAATGCTGCATTAATTGAGAAATTACTTTGTATAATGTAGTAGTTACGCAAAATATTTTGCTTTTACAACTTTTCAATGTTTGCAAATTATAATTGGAAAATTCTTTTTCAACAAAGATATGCGTTTTGATGCATCATCTTGCAATCATTATTGCAAAATTATCCTAATAGAAAGAAGCAATAATTATGCATTTATGCTGAGTTTCCTATCTGGGTCATTTACTTTTGGATAGAGCATAATTCATGAACAGTTTTATGTACTTTTTTTTAAAAAAATTCTAAACTTGAAAATACTGAAAGAAGTCATAGAATTATTAAAATCCTGTTTAAGAATAATGATCTGCCAATTTGTATTAAACAATTTTTGACAAAGTTGTAGACAAAGTTCTGTAGATTTTAAAAGATTTTGTTTGAGAATGATTTCTTAAACGCAGAAGAATAACTGCAGCACGAGTTGTTGAAAAAGTCTTTGACTGTCTTTTAAATATTCTTAAACACAGAAGCAAATGACTGCTATACGAGTTTTTGAAAAAGTCGTTGACTGTCTGTTAGAATTTCACATCGCAGCGAGGAAAATTTTTCAGTTCACTTGTCTTTAATTGACAATGCACGCAAATTTTAACCTCTGTAAAAGTGCAAGTGAATTTATGTTACAAGAAAAAGAAGAAAAAGTGTGTAATAATAAAGTAAATGCTTTTTTACATTTATTACAAATAATTATGTCGCTTATAGAATGTAGATGCATTAAGCGTACAATGACAGTTAAATGCTTTAATATAGAAATTAAAATTGTAGTTTTTTACAGATCAAGAATGGACTGTTTGGATAAAATATATCAAATAAAATATAATAAATATTTATATTCTTAAATTTATAAATATAATGTTATAAGAATTAATATATATATATATATATATATATATATATATATATGTATGTATGTATGTATAGTATTAAGTATTAATATAATACTGTATTATAGTATTAAGAAAATTAAATAAAATATTTCTATCTCATTATAAAGATGTATATACTTTTATACAAAATTTTAATATATAACTTTTATATAAACTATTTTCTTTGCATATCTAATTTTCGTTGATAATTATCTAAACTTTCCTTGACTAACTTTGAAAATTTAATATAAAGTATTATATAAGCTATCTTTCAAGTTTTTTGTTGACAGTAATTGAAAATTTACTTGACAGTTTCAAAACTAGTTTTAAATGGTTCATTAGGTTATTACATTTTTTGTTTTAGAATTTTAACAAATTGTCCAAAAACATTTTTGTATTTGTTATGCACTTCTTAGAAAATTATTTATCAAAGTTTTTAATATAAAGTGTTCTATTTTCTGCAAGATTTTATGCTCTATCCAAAAGTGAATGACTAGTCAGATAAAATTTAATAAATTTATTTTTTCCGTGTATATGTATGTGTATATGTGTATGCATGTACTCACTCTCGTATGTTCTTTTTTAAAACTGGACACTACAAGTGCTTTGCCCGTGCCATTGATGTTTTTTCTTATTGCTGAAATTCATATTTTAGCGGACAACTTTATAACCTGCGAGTGTACATTATTTTAATTTGCCTAATTAATTCGGAAAATAAAAATTATGTACATGATAGAATTTCGGAGACTCAATATTTTGCACGTAATGGAAATTCAAGTATTAAAATTATATGTATAATAAAAATTCAGCAAATTAAAATTATTTACATAATAGAAATTCAGTGAATTAATATACGTAATATAAACTCAACGTATTAAAATTATGTACATAATCGAAATACGGCGAATTAAAATTATGTACATAATTAATTAAAATAATAAAAATACTAAATATCATAATTAATTAGAATTCAAAATTTAATAAAAAATCCTTTGGATCCTTTCACCGATCTTCAAACCAACCATCCTTTAACAATATTGTCTATCCTTTAAGTTTCTCATAGAATTAAATTGTTATGATAGCTTGAGTTTAGAATCATATTTGATTTAACAGACAAAATAGCATTATTTATTAATAAAGCGTTGTAAATTGATAATTATGATAATTACAAGAATAATTGTACAATATAATATAGAAATAATTATACATATGGTAATATAAGAATAATTATGCATGCAAATTTCTAAACTAAAGTACTAAAATAATGATCTGAAACAATTTTAAAAAGTATAATAGTAATATATGTATACAGAATTAAATATACATATATGTGTATACATGCATATATATATATATATATATATGTATATATAATTTATATATATATATATATATATATATGTATATATAATTTTAATCATATACCCTAAGCAAATGCAAAATTAAATTAAAATAAATTAATAAAGGGCAAGATTGGCGAAGAAATATGGGATTATATTTTGTTTTATTGTACAATTAATTTTTGCCTCTGTTAAATTAAAAAAGGATGTTTCATTCTTTTCAAAATTCTATCACCACATATAAAAAATATATGTATTGCATTACTTTTGACATTTGACGTCAACACATATAAATGAATATAAAATGCATTTCACATCTCATTATATCTCTTTAAAATGCAAAATATGACAATATTCGCAAAACTCGCTTCCTGCATTATTATCGTATCCGCTGAAGTTTGACAAACAATCTTATTAATCTGATTTGAATGTATTAATTATGCATATAATAACTACGCTGTTTTTCATAAAAAGAAGTTGTTATTGATATTTTGAAGTTAGAATTGTATCTGATTTAACAGATAGAGCATATTCTAATGTACGATATAAATCATTATTGTGTTTGTTAGAACAAAGTTCTTTTTCTGTTTTTAATAGAATCGTCACTGTTGTTAATATTTCAACACAAGAAATTTTGAGAATCTCGACGGGGTAAGTTTAAATTCTTCTTGAGTTCTTCGAATATGTTTTTTTTTAATTTTTGAATAAATTATCTGAAATATTATTTCTTTATAAAACTAAAGCATGTATACAATATGCTATAAGTACAATTAAAGTATACGTTAAATAAGTATTCTAAATATTTCTGCAATTTATATATTTATCGATACATTTACACAATCATATTTATCTTAAGATTTTTATTCCTTAAACAATATTAATAAAATTTATATTTATTAAACTTTTTGATTAATTAAATTTTGCTGTACTACGAATAAGCTATTGATTAAAATAATTTAATTTAATTATATATATATTTTTTAAGAAAATAATAAGATTTTAAATTATGCAACTATTCTCTTCTTCTTTCTTCTTT